GGAAAGGAAAAAAAAAAGAGGCGTACTCGGGTTTGGGGCCCAGCCGGAGGTGTGGCTCGCGAAGAGCCAGTAGACGCCGTTGCGCTTCACGATGCCCGGCGCTTCGAGCGTCGCGCCGGAGAGCTCTGCGACCTAAGCGTGCGAGAAGTACATATGAGCCCAGGTCGGGTCCACTCGGATGGGCTCCTTCCTCACCTGGGTCTGGACGGTGTAGTAGTTTCCGTCCAGCTGCGAAATCTTGAAATTCTGATTGTTGTCCGACGCGTACAGCAGGTAGGACGTCTGCGCGGAGTCGTCTGCCGTGGCAAAGGGAAAAAGAAAAAAAATTAAATTACATGAGCGCGCGGATTTTGGGGGAGGGGGCGGGAAACGGGATATAACGGGATAAGGTCGTGTGTTCACCGTCTTGGAAGAGACCCATGTCGCGCGAGTCCGCGCCGAAGGGCTTGAAGCTTCCCCGGTACGAGTAAGGTCCGCAGGGCGTCTTCGCGGTCGCGACGCCGACCATGGCGGCGCCGTAGCTGCATCGAGGCGGCTCAAGGTCAGGACGAACCGTAATAGAGCATTTCAGGCGAACGAGAAACACGTTGCTTACTTGGAGGTGTCGGAGTGGAACCACATCACGTATTCCGAGTTCTGTACGAGATTTCACGTTAGCGATTGGGGAAGGGAGAGTGATGGCTAGGGTTGGGGGTGGACGGACCTTCTTGTTGAAAATGACTTAAAGGACGACTTAGTCGAGAGGCAAGGACAGATGGGAGGAGCGGGCGTACCCTTGGGACGCTCGACGATGTTGGACGTCGATATGTTCGTTCCGGAGATGGGGGTCAGCGCGTCGTTCTGCCTCGTCCATGTGATCAAGTCCGACGACTGAAGCATCGCGGGATCAACGAAAGATGCATCTAAGGTATACAGAGGCGAAGAGGTCACGACGTTACCGAGTAACAGGACACGGCCTTGAATAGGGCGCTGTTGGCGGCTGGCATACGCGCGCGCGCGCACGAAGTCAGCGCGCCCGGGCCGACGCCAGGAAAGCGACTATTTCGTGCGCACATTTGTCCTCTCCGAACCAGTACCGTGTGCTGCCGACTGTGAGGAACCCTCCGCCGTGCGCTTGGATGACGTTGCCTGGACGAGTCTCCTGTGAGCGTCCTGGTCATCGGCTGACGCGAAGAAGAAGCGGCCGTACCTGAGGTGTCGGTCCACGCAGCTCCCGGCACGATGACCGCAGCACGAGCGACGGCCAGTAGGAAGCTTAGGAGAAATATCATGGCGCTGCGGCTGGTCATCGTAGCGGCGTCCGTGAGAGTAGGTGGGGGGGGGGGGCGGGGCGGGACATGGGCGGAGGCAAATTCCGCGGTTATATACGGTTCGCCCGTAAGGCACCGGATGAAGAAACGCGGGCGAGCATCTGTTCCACAGGTGGGCCCATGCGATCCGGGGCATCGCGATGTATGCGACGGGGCTACAGCAGCCGAAGAGGGCCCGAGTTTTTTCTTTTCTTATTATTGTTATTTTTTGTACCGAGGACCGGGCGGGTAAGGCAAGTCGAGCGTTTTGCGATGGGGCGATAGAAGTGCGAGTCTTCCTGCGCCAGGTTCATGCATGCCCTGTGCTTGACGCCGCCGGTCAGAGCCTGATGCGGGTTTGCACATGAGCCAGGAAGTTTCGAGGGGACCGATGCAACCGTTTTTTTTTCCCTGTCCACGCGACGAGGAGCGGTCGACCCATCTGACGGTCGTCTGCGCAAGAAAACGGACGACGAGGCTGAGCGGGCGGCCCGGGGGCAGGTGACCCGCCGAGAACGTAGCGGTTATCCGGAGAGCGATGAATTGGGACGAGCAAGGGCCACGGATCTCGATGGGCTTCGCGAAGGCGTGTCCCCCCCGCGGTCCGAAATAGACGCGGTTGTTCACATGCGGTGGCTTGAACGTCCTGACATCATGGACGAGGCTCTCGTAGCACGGTACAGGCCCGACATGCAGCGGGCGCATGCAGAGAAGGTGGTGGACACGTGGTGTAACAGTAGGTGAGAGCGTCGATAGCGCGCATGTGTTGACCTGGAAGCCGTTCAACCTCGTCGACACCGGAGACGGCTGGGCGTTATTTGGCGTACCCAGAATCTTTATTTGCATCGAGGAAAGAAAGCTACGACGTCCTTCGAGCCATCGCAGATGTCCGTCGCGTACGGTAACCTCGTAATTACTGATGAGGCCGGAAGGAACAAGTGCATGTCCGCGAATACAGGAGGTCGTCGTAAGACGGAGAGATCGCGGTCCTTGCGATGTTCTATGTGAGATTTCCGCTTGGTAGGCCCCTCATTGCAATAACAAAGGAAGAATCCTTTCGACGTTTCTGGTAATATGGACTTGGTGGTCTACGGCAAGAGGTGGTGCGGTCCCGGCGGTGAGTCTCGTTCATCGTCGCAGGATGTCGGTGCGAGGACCCCCCTGCATTTGCAAACAGCCATTCGGCCCCGAATTTGTCGAATTGCCCGCCTTTGATTGGTCCCCCACTTCCGCCGGTGCAAAGACCGGGGTCCCTCACCCTGCGCCCCTCTCTCGGGTCTCGCGAACGCCGGCCGTTGCCGACAGCAAAGGACCCCAGAGCTCAGAGTCCGTCTCCGCCACCGCAGCTTGGTGGGTCTTGAACGCGTTGAGACCCACTTTACTATGCCTTGCTGGCTGCGTTGAACGTTGACCACCGCCATTGTCATGTACATCGTCTTCGTCCTCATTGTCCCCGTCCCCGGGTCGTACGACGGGGTGCCCTGAGACAGGGTGCACGGATGCGGCCAGGCCCCGGAGCTGGGCAGCACGCGATACCAAATACGGACAGAAGGTGCCAACTGGCCGACCCCGCCTGACCTGGATATAACCACAACAAACACCGCCCCTCCGTCTCCACTGGCATGCTCTGAGCGCTGTTGTAGCGCGCCCAACGCGAACACGCCCGCCGACGTCTGCACTGCCACAAACAACCACAAACAAGTACGCCGCTTCGTTATCGCGCGGCCATCGCTTTCCTCTCCCCACCACCAAGCCACCAGGTCAGGACTGGGCCGTCCTGACAACCAGCGTGAGCACGTTGAGTCGAAGGGGCCCAGAACCTTAGGAAGCTGCAGTGGCCGGACACGAGCGTTGTTCTGTCATTGAGCTTCCAAGGTTTTTATCTTGTACCTCGTTGGAGCTGTCGCCGCTTTCAACCACCACCACCATCACCCCTTCGACGACCGCCCATGCGCTTGCAGCGCGCACGGCACGTATCACTCAATCTGACGACGTCACATGCGCCTGAGGCCCCTCGCGATACAACGACTCCGGCGCCTTCGGCGCGCGGTTCGGTCAACATCAAACGCGACGCGAGCTCGATCATAACGGCCTCGAGCAGTCGAT